AAGTTCAGGAGAGAAGAAAGTATTGATATTATTACTTCTTTTGTTAACTTATTCAGATATACTACGTTGGAAATTACTTACAAAAAGACTCTTATGTGTGTAATTTCATTGTTCTATTCATAATTCGAGAGAGGAGATGATAATTGGTTTAATGTTGGATTTGTTGTGCATGACTTATTGTCAATCTTCATAAGTTTTATTTCTTTTCTTTCATTTTAGCTTGTAGTTTTTAAAAAATATTTTACCAATTCCCTCAAATAAGAATTAATTTGATTCAAGTATTAATATCTCTGTTATAAAAATAAAGCATTCAACCTATTAAATTCTCTTTGTTATATATAGTTTTGGAGCTTATTTAGACATACTAACACAGCTACTTTTAGTCATGATAAAGGGTATAGACTTTCTTCTAAGTTAAGTATTAATATTGTCATCAACTTTAACACCAGAAAAACAATTTAAATAAAGTATATTTCACTCAAGATGAAACTCAATTTAAACAATAAATATAAATATTCTTTATCTTTTTGAATCAAAAATGAAATATGCTGTGAATATTCAAATTTATTCAATAAATCAAATAACTTTTGATAATAACTATAATTTTATTATAATCAATATTTGTCATTTCTTCAAATAATAGAGAAAATATTACTTTAATACATTTTGTTGTATTAATTCACTTAAAAATATTATTATACTATTTTTAAAGATAACTTTGATAATATTAATATCATCATCGTTATTTACCAAGATAAACAATTGCTTTCACTTTTATGATATAATTAAATTTGGTTGTAGAAAGACAATAAGTACTTTGAACCTTTTGAAAATATTTAATAAATAAACATGATGTATTAAAATAATTAGAATAAAAAAAGTAGGATTTATAATCTTAGTTATATTTAAATAGAATAATAAATTGTTATTGGTATGTTATTTGTAGAACAGTAAGAAAATGAAAAATAAGAGAATTTCAAAATTTTAATAACGTATATCTATTTTAGTATTATAAATACTGATAAATGACGAGTGGGTGAATTTAATATTTTATATTTCTATTATATTGATAGTTTCTATGTCTCACATTAAATTTTTATTTTTTTAGTATATTCAAGAACTTTATATTATAAAACATTATTTATTTGACATTTTTAGTAATTATTGTTTGTAGTATTATTGAAGCATCCTTATTATTGTTTGTGCAGTAATTAATTTATTGCTAATATTATATTAATTATTTTTACAATGTATTTTTTCTCTATTTTCAATAGGCTATATTCAATTTGTCTTTAGTAACAATTTATTCATTTACTTCCTTTATTTGATTTATTATTCACTAAAATTAATCTTCTTACAAAATATTTTCACCATTCTTTTTATTATTCTACCTGAATTATCCTTTTATTACTTCTACTATTTCAATAATTCATGTATTTGTTATTTGTATTTTAAATAGGTTCTTAGTAATGCTAAGTCGCAGTCATTTCATAGAAACATTATTCCATTCCTAACTTATGTATTATTTATATAATTTACTTTTGTTATTATTTCTATGTAATTGTGAGATAAAAACAAATTTTTAATTTGTTCTTCACTTCCTTTAAAAATTCAAAGTGAAAACTCAAAAAAGAAAAATTAAAAAAAAGAACAAAAACCCTGTAGAATTAAAAGAGTCATAAGCAAGTAATATGAAAGCAAAAGGAACTAAGAAACAAATTGTAGAGAAGAAGAATGTTTTCTTTACTAAAACTGGGCTTGATGCAGATTTTGTAACAACACTTTCCGACCATATCTTTATGTTTTTATTAAATAAAGGGGGAGCCACAGTTATTGAAACTTATGATTATGTTAGAGAATCAGGGATATCGAATGTAGACATTAAGAAAGAAGAAATTTTATCATTACTTGAACGATTAGTTTATCTTGGGAATGCAGAAGTTTCAGTTGCAAAAAATGGTAATAGTAGTTTATATGGTTCAAAAGTATTTAAACCAGTAAAATTTATGGTAGGAAGATGTCCATTATCTGAAGTTCCATGTTATAATTGCCCATATTCATCAATTTGTTCACCAACAAATGTATCATGTAATCCAAGAAATTGTAAAGCTTTTGTTGATTTATTAAAAGTACCAGACGACCTATAGGAAAGAGATTTTTATTTACTTTTTACTAATTAAAAACTGCATTGATTGTATTTGTTTTATTATTTATTTATGGTTCTAAAGTTGCACATCAAATATAACACTACACAAAACCCTAAAAGAAGTCAAATCATTGATTCACCAGTTATCATTTGGCTATGATATTGCCTTTTGGTTAGAAAATACCTTACTCAATACTGCAAGAATGGCAATGATTATTATTAATGATGATGGAGTACTATTTATTATAACTGAAGAGTGAGTAATCTATAAAGAAGTATTTATTATTGAACTGCCATGATGCAAATATATTTGATAGTTTTGGATTATCAAAGGAAAAGGGTTTGTATATTTCTGGTGATAAATGAAACTATGGACTAGTAATATAATAGTAACGGTATGTTCATTCAACATAAAATAACATTATAAAGAAAGAAGAGTTTTAAAACACAATAAAATTTAAATAGAAATGGGGGTAATTACTTAAATGAGGAATAAATAGGTTGATGATGCTTGAAAAGACATTAATTCAATCTAAATAAAAGAATGAAGAATAGAAAGTCACACTTCTCAATAAGATTAAAAACTAAATAATAAGTGAATAATTGATGAATAAACATTTTTAAAGCACAAATATAGGATTAACCTCTTATGAGACAAGAAGAAAAGAAAATAAATCTAATAACACTAAATTAACTAATTTTTTTCTTAATAATAAAAGAAAATATCAGACAAAAAAAAGGTTTGCAATATAAATCAATCAACAATTCCATACTTCAAAAGATATTCCCATATTGAAGTATTAAATAATTTAATCTTAGAGCAATTAACAATTTTAAAATTTTTACAATCCATAACATTTAGTGTTGTTAATGAATATGGTAAAGCAGTTTTGCCTAAAAAAGGACATCCTTCAAATACTAGATTCTTTAATAAAGGAATATTCATATCCTTTGTATCAAAACAAACACATTCTAATGAAGGTATTTGTTTTAATGAAACTATTTTAACAGAATTTGGAAGATGAATAATTTTAACACCAGAACACCTTTGTAGAGTTAAGGCATTTAATTTTTTTGGAAAAGAAAGACTTTCTGGGAATACACATTCAACAAAGTTAACTAATTCTAAGTTATCTCCTAAATGTGGAAATATTTCAGTAAAATTAATTTTGTTAAATGATATTGATACTAAACTATCCCAGTTATAGTCAACATATCCACTTATATAATTAATTCTTCTTTCTTCTGGTTTTCTTGTAGAGACTACTACACTTTTTGGAAGCATTTTTTCAATAATAGTTTTATTTAATAATGTTTCATTAGCAGCAAATTGAAATAGTCCTGTTGGCGTTAATACAAATCTTAATTGATTTTTACCTTCAACTACTTTATTTCTAGTAATATATGGTAATACTGAAATGTCAACTATTTCATCACAAACACATACAGTAATTTTTTCAGTTTCAATTGTTCTTAATTCTTTTATTGTACTTTCATTTACAAGCATTGCTTTTAACACAAATTCAGGATTAGATTTCATTTTTAATCCTTTTAATTTAGAGGTAATATCACTTAGTGGTGCTTTAATAATTACTTTTTCCAATAATTCTAATGATTCTAATTCTTTAATTGCACTTAAAAGATGATTATCATATGTAGTGTGTTGAAGGTCAAGTCTGAGTATTTTAAGTTTTATATTCCCTGAAATACACCCAGGTGAATAATGTTGCATTGAAATAGTTAAATCAACAACTTCAGCCTTTGGTAATATATCACGAAATTTAAAAGTAAATGGAATAGTAACACGAAGACGTAAAGTTTCAACGTTTCTAATTCGTTCTAAAATTTCATTTCCTTTATCTTCTAATAAAAAAGTATCAAGAAAATAATTGTCACATGTCAATTCACGTATTACTGGAAACAACAATAATTCTCTCATAAACTCTCTCTTTTCACTTGAAAAATAGAAATTTACATGACGTGCTAAAACAGCTTGTTGAAATCTTTTAGATATTAGCATAATCTTTTTTAATTCATCAGCAACTCCCATATATTTTATTATCCTTGTAAGAATAACTGATTCTATTATTGTTTTTTTTGGTAAATTCATACGTTTTATTAATAGTTGTTTAATAGAATTTAAATGTTTTAAATAAACCTCTTGATAAGAAACAATTTGTGATTGTTCGTCAAATCTTCTTATAAAGAAATCACATTCCTCTACTGTTTTTTTCAACAAATTTTCAGAAATATCTTTGTCCTTTCTAAACTTCTCAAGAAGATAATTACTGTTTGAGTACTGTTCTTTTAATTCATTTATTTGCTCATTTAATTTAGAATTATATTTATCCATTTCTTTAAGTCCTCTTAAAGAGTTAACTTCTCTCTCTAACTCATCTTCGTTAATTATTCTTTGATAAAGTTGTCTTTTATAAATTTCAGTCTCTACTTTAATTCTTGAATCAATTAACGTTGTTTTTTCTTTTTCTTTAGAGTTAATCTCATTTTCTATAAGAGTTACCTGATGACCAAGTTCTTCTCTTTTTTTTTGGAGCTCTTCTAAACTAAATTCTTTCCCCTTATTCTTAATGCTCAGACTCATATTAAATTATTCATTTTTTTTAGATCTTTCAAAACCCGTTATTGAGTAATCTCTTTCTTATTTTTTTTACTATTCAAAACTATATTATTGACTTCTTTAAATTTTATTTCAGTTATTATCATTTGTTAATCTATAAAACAAAAATTTTCTTAAATAAAAGTAATTAATTAAGTATTAAT